ACTGGGGACCCGTTTGAGCTGCTCCCACGCGGATTTTTCGTGGGTTCCTCAGGTCTGCCAAAGACCCAAGCTAGCAGTTTCTTACACTGCGCTGCGGAGCCATCTTCTTGCATCACCCACCTCCTCCTCTGGCCCACTGAGCTCCACGCACCTCTCAGACCCCTTCCCCCTCCAGCTGCCAACGCTTCTGGCCGGTACAGGAAGATAGCTCGGCCTTTTTTCGTTTCTTTTTTTTTTTTTTATTTTCTTTGCCATGCCCCAAACCTTCACGTGTGGGGTCCAAGCGCGCGTGCCCCTGAGTGGCAGAGCCTTCGTGTGTGCTGAGGAGAGGGGGAGTCCGGCTCTCCTTTGAGGGACGTGGGGACAGGAGCGGGGGGTGGCTAGTGTCTGGCCCGGGTATGCTGCTTGGCCTGGGAGCTCAGTGTGGTATCTCTCTCCCCCAGGGTTATCTCACCTCCTGCCAGCCACCCAAGAATGTTTTTTAAGTCGCTCAGTCCTGCTCGTCCTAATTACGCCTTCCTGGAGTGCTATACATGATTTCCCTCCCACCTTCGCAGTCCTTTTTCTCCCAGTTGATCCTGCTTGCCCTTTAATGGCACACCACCTCCCCACTTTCCTTTGATTTGCTTCCCCACCCCTCAGCACTTTTGTCCCTTTCCCTCTCACAGCCCTCAGCCGCCCTGGTTGGTGGGTGCTGGAAAAAGATGCCTTGGACCCTTGCTTTCTGGACTCTCAAAAGAAAGACTTTTTTGGCCAGCACGGTGTGAACCTGTGCAAGTCACTGCAATGGCGAGTCAAGACCATAGAGAGGGAATATCTTCTAGTACTGTAACTGAGGATACGTGATAAAGGAATCATTGTAGCCCAGGCTAAGGATGAACTGGAGCTTTTGAAGTGCTCTAAGCTCCTTGCTCCAGGGCACAGGCAACTTCTACTTACCCGTGGCTAAAGAGGATGTTTCCCTAGAGACCTTTGCCTTTGCTTTGAAACTGGCTGCCTTGAACACCTGAATAGTCAGCTGGAGGCTGGGGCCAGCCTAGGGCGCAGGAGGCTGGATCTGTCCCCAAACCACTGCCTGGCTCTGCGCTCAGTTTTGCGTCATGTAAAATGGGAAAACTGCGGGAGCTGTTTCACTGAGGCGCTTTGAGTGCTCCAGGTGGAAAACGCTTTGTAGGTGTCCGCGCCTTGAGCCTTACACCGACCCTCCACAGACATTGCAACATTTCTGTCCCCTCTGATGTGAAATAAAGTTCTCAATTTCTTGTGCACACCTTAAACTTTTCTCCAGCAACTGGATAACAACCTGAACAGGTGACCGCCCCTGCCTGTCCCCGCAGTTTGGCAGAAGTCACTTCCTGCGGGATGTGTGATGGATGTGCTCAGTCACATGGTTCACTGCGGTAGGCGAGGGTCCCCTGAGCTGTCCCTGCATGAACCGTAGGAGAACCCGCAGATGTGACGATACATTCAGTACTGGTGAAGCCCAAGCAGACCTCACGGGAGGCTGCTCAGTGTGTGTCACCCATGCAGAGAGCGCCGTTAGGGAGCATAAACGTTACAAAGCCAAGCTTTCAGCGAAGAGGTCACACAGCCGTTTGCGTGGCCTGGTGTGTCAATACAATGGCACAATCTCAGAATGATTTAGCTACAAAAAGTAATAAACAGACAGGCTTCTGAGTGCACCAGCACTTTCCCTGCCTTTTCAGAGCCAAAATTCTCAAAACCCATGTTTGCTTCTTCCATTGTGTATCAGTCGATCTAATAAAAGCTATTAAATTTCCCCAGCCTTTGTCTGGCTTTGTTTCTGGAACTACTTGACTGTAGGCGCAGAACAGGACAGGGCATGTTCAGTACCGGATTGCAAGCAACACTTACACTTTCCTGGGGTGCTAGGGGATGTTCTGACAGTCGTTAGACGTTACTGAAGCTGTATTTATCTGGTGCAAAAGGCAAAGCTGTAGTCAAGTCAGGTGAAAACTGCTCACTGCACTGAGAAGCTGGACCTTCCTGAGACTTTTTCAGCTCTTTCAGAGTTGAACTCCGTGTGCTCCCTAGACAAGATTAATTTCTTTTTATTTTGATCTCATACCTTTTGCATATGTTTTAAAATAAGAAACTTCAAATTCCTTCTTGCCCTTTTTAAATGACCATTTTGTTTTAAAAAATCTGTCCTTTGGGCACTTTGCAATGACACCAAGAAACTTTTGAGATATCTGTGAGACAGACTTGCAATTTTTATCTCCACTTCTTTTAACATGATTTTTCATACCCATCAGTTGCATTGGTACCAGGGTGGAAGGCAGCAAGAGCGTTAGAGGCTTTATTTTTCAACTCTTTCTGTGATTGCTTGCACAAGCTTTTTAAAGACAGTTCAGATCATCTCTATACTCTGGAAATTAAACCTAGATATCTTATATTAACGTTTGGTTTGTTTTTTTAGCAAACTGGAATAAATTAGCACTGATGATGGTAGGTTCTCTGTCTCCTGTTGTCCTCAAACCCTGCTGTTCTGGGAGGTGAGCAAAGAGTCACACACACATTACAGCATTCAATGCAAAGGTCAGTAGAGATCTGTATCGGCCAATCGGTCAGATGGGATAATATACCAGTCCTTCTGGCCATAAAATGTGTTCTGATGCTCTCTGGGCCCATTTTAGAAAATGTATAGAGCTTTAGTTGGTAACAATAACAAAATTTGAGGAACATTATAAAACAATTTTGCATCTCATTTTTTCTTTAGAGAGTACCTCATAGAGTCTATTAAACAGCCTTTGAGAGCTGTAATTAAGCGCTTTGAAACATGTTTGGGATAGTTTTTTTCAGGCTTCGCCTCCAGCCTCTTTGGCTTGAAAAACATGCTTGTTTCCAGGAAAGTGACTGTTGCCTTTAATTGAAATTAGGAGTTGACTGGGGAGGCTGCTGGCTCCAAAGTGCCCTGGTGCTTCTGTGAGCTTGGAGGAAGGACTGGCTGCCTCTCGGAACAGCTAATAAAAAAAAAAATTCCTCCTCTTTATTTTGGACCCACCTACGATTATTTTTTTCCTCATTTTCGTAATCCCCTTATTTAATTTGTCTTGGAGTAAACAAAAATAGCTCACCCCAGCAAACCCAGTGGTGTCCTTCCTTTCCAGTTGGTCAAGAGATGTTGGACATGTTGCATGATTTCAAAACGCTGTCGCTGCTGGACCCAAGGAGTGAGAAAACTCTGGTTGAAGAGTCCTGAAACAGACTTACAAGAAACAAGTGGAAATTGTTTTTCTTCCTCCCATCAGAAATAAATGCCAAGTACATGGTGGCCGCATCCCCTGCCTTCTACCGGCGCTGTCCCGGAGGGGCTGAGCCTCTTGGCAGCCCCTCAGCTCCCTGGGCAGCATCAGCCTCTGCGGCGGCTCCCCACACCGGGTCGGGACAGCCTCTTTGGGCAAAGGCAGCACAGCCACCCCCAGGGCTTGAATTAGGCCACCAAAACCATTACACTGCACTAAACATAACAGCAGTGGAATTCGATTTTTATATAAGAAGTAATAAAAAAAAAAAACATACAGGACTTATTTCCCTCACCTTTCAGTTTCCGGTGTTTTATCTTCTCTTAGACGAATGTCCAAGCTTTTTCTCGGCGCACGTAACACCTCAGTTCTCAGAATGCTCACGGCTCTAGGAGCTGGGGCTCTAATTAGTGCAAATCCCGCTAGCCTTGCTGCAGTAGGCCCCGGGGCTGGCTGCTGGCAGCTCCATTTCCCCCTCACCAGGGTGGGTG